TTGTTTACAATGTATACACAACCTATTGCTGATATTTTAAGACAATATGGCATGAATTACCATCTTTATGCTGATGACACTCAAATTTATAAGTCTATTGATTTCGATCAAATACCACTTTTAGTCGACTCTACTGAACAATGTACTAGAGATATAAAAATATTGATGACCAGCAATAAATTGAAACTAAATGATGACAAGACGCAAATAATGTTGAGGGGAAATACAAAAGCCATTAAAAATCTCCCAGAGCTACAAATTGATATTAATAACCATACCATTCGTTCAAAAAGAAGTCTTAAAAATCTAGGGGTTCAGCTGGATTATGATATGTCTATGTCCTTCCAAATTATCCAGCTCAGCAAAAGTATTTACTTTCAGCTTAAGAAAATTGGCAGTGTACGAAATTATTTAACTAAAACAGCAGCCAAGACACTTGTAACAACACTCATTTTATCAAAGTTAGATTACTGTAATGCTATTTTATCCGGTTTGACATCCGAAAAACTTTCAAAATTACAAGTACTCCAAAATCAAGCAGCAAAATTGATAATGAAACAAAAGAAATCAGGGCACGTAACACCAATTCTGAAAGAACTACACTGGCTGCCAATAAAAGAAAGGATCAAATACAAAACTGCCATTCTCTGTTTTAAATGTATAAATGCTAGTGCACCTTTTTATCTTAAAACATACCTGGAATTATATCATCCACCTAAAACCCTTAGATCAGCCTCTGATAATCTAATTCTTAAAACTCCAAAACAAAATCACAAAACATACGGCGAGCGTTCCTTTTTATTCTTTGGTCCCCAGGTATGGAACGAGCTCCCATATAAAATGAGATCTGCCCCAACAATTTCCATTTTCAAAAATCAGCTGAAGCATTTTTTATTCACAAAAGCATACCTGTCATAATGATGTTCTGTGATATATATATCCATGTGTATGCCAGACTGTGAGACTAAAGAAATAGCGGGTGAGAATGAGAGAGAGAAAAATAGAAAGAGAGATAGGGAGAGAAAAGAGAGAGAGATGTATAATACGTTGTTTTACGTACGCACTTGTCGATTAATTTTTAAGATGTGATGTCTTTTTCGTTGTAATGCGCATTGAGCATCTTTTAGAAAATGGAAATGCGCAGTATAAAAATGCGCAGTATTATTATTATTTATTATTATTATTATTATTATTATTATTATTATTATTATTATTATTAAAATACAAGGAGTTTTTTCGCCCCCGTTGGCACAATTTAGATCATTTATAAAGCGGGCTTTGACCCTGTCTACCAAGGAAAACCAGGGGGCTCTCGTGGCCTAGAGGTTAAGGTGTTGGCCTCTCATTCAAAGGTCCCGGGTTCGATTCCGGGTAGCGACCAAAACATTTTCTTCTCTAAAATTGTCTCCTTTCACCTCTTTTCCTGCTCTCTAGCAATGTTCTGTTGTCTGCTTTCATTTCCACTTTCTGCCCCCACCCCTTCACCTCCTTTGCCCCCTCTTCTGGGCTCCTGACTCTTTCTGCAGCCTTTCTACTGCTACTCCTTGGCTCCTCCTTACTGCTGTCTTTCTGCCACACCCCTGATCTTCTGGTAGGAAAGATCTACACCTAGCCTTCTCGGACAAGGGCGAAAAATCTCGGAGGGCCCGTGTGCAAGTTGCGCACGTTAAAGATCCCCTGGTGGTCTAAAATCGATAAGAGTAGGCTTCGGCCGCCACCCGGGCAAAATTCAAAATTTCCTACCAACTGAAAATATTAGGAGTGTCCCGCGCGCTCATATGACCTATGCAGTTGCGAGCGTCGTAAAACACTTTACAAAAAAACCCCAAGGAAAACCAGGGCTGAGAGAGATACAACAGCCCAACAGAAACCGCCACCACTTGGGAATTGAACTCGAGTGTCCTTTGTTCGATGACAAAGCACTTAATTGCCACACCACAGCTCCGACGCCGGTATATTTGCATTTGACAACTGTTAAACTTGCACGAGAAGTTTTCTCTAAAGTATTTTAAAATCAAACAAACCAGTGTGCTTAATTGAATGTTCTTATAGAAAATAAGTTTTATTACTTAAGTATCTTTCTCGTTGATTTTGAGCATGTCTTTCATTTTGCTTTGAACAGGTGATGGTTGACATCACAGAAGCTGTGAAAATGGACAGTGGGAATGTTCGCAAACTGTACGCTTTGTCTGGGCGACAGGTGAGCTTTTCGATTGTGGCTAACTTTTTGTTCGCCTTTCGTAGGACTTGAGTCTACGTCTTTGTGGAATCAGATCACTTCAAGAGAGTGACGCTAAGTCTCAAGATGTGACATCGGACTTATAGGAAATATTTACATAAGACTGAACCCAAATGCGAACTTCACACTGTCTCACGTTTGTCAAAATCACAACCGACTGCACCGGAGTGGCCTGTTATACTCTTAAACTGTACCCACAGTATAAATTTGCCATTTATATAGTTTGCCAGCTTAAAAATGTTTTCTACTTTCTTTTGAAATTGAATCTCGTCTGATTGAATTCATTCTTACACTTCTGTTCTTTCAGTCTGTCGTTCTGCTGATTCCCCCCCAGCTGCGGCTGGCCCTTTGTTGTGCGTGTGTGCGTGTCTTTGATTGATATTAACTTGAAAATCGATCTTTTTCCAATATAGAAGGTGGGCATTGAAGCATATTTTATGATTTCACATTCAGTCATGTAATTGCGTGCTTTAAATGGTATTCAGGTGTGATTGTATGTTCATTGGCGCTTTATTTGAAATGTACAGTGACCTCTTTAGATCTAGTTTTTGACCTGCCTAAATCATGACTGATACGTAGTCTCTGTTCCTCAGTAACAATTATGATTATGTCCATATCTGAGTTACATAGTCCATGAAGGTTTTCTGTACAAAATCAAAAGCTCGCAAACAATACAAAAGAGCGCATTTAACGTTAAGTCCAAAATTTGAGTGTTATTTGGGGTATAGGAATATAGTATATACACATACATACATATGTATATCTCTATATGATTATTTATATCTTATTATTATCATTATTCGTGTAACGACGTGGTTGAATCAAGTGCTCGTCAATTTTCGGGCATATAGTGATATTGGTATAATATCAAAATGTATTGACTTTCCTTGCTATTGATAAAAAAATATCCATCCACCCGGAATAGAAATAGAGATACAAGTGTACATGTATTTGGAATTGATAGAGATTGGGGTCACCTGGTGTAAGAGTTACAATTAACCAGAAAGTAGACACCAAATATTGTGACTTCCATAGCTGTGATGTCCTTGGGAACTGCAAAGTTACGTTTATATGTGTCTTTCATCAACGTTTTTCTGTATAACCAACTGTGGACTGTGTTTTAAAAAAATGAACATAAAAGGTTTTGAACCCAAAATATAAAAACAAAACAAAATACCCCTCCTCCCCTAAAAATTGTGTGTATTTAAATGTGTTTGTATTTATAATTAATTATTTAACTATGTATGTTTGGCGTGGTAACTCACATTTTCCAACTGGCACAATAAACTAAGTATTTACTATCATTTGATATTATACACACACACACATGCACACACACACACACACACACACACACACACACACACACACACACACACACACACACACACACACACACACACACACACACACACACACATGCACACACATACACGCACACACACACACACACACATACATAAATACACACATATACGCACACGCATAGGCACACACATACACACACATTATTATAAGGTTACTAGATGATGATGAATAAGCGATTCTTAAAATCAAGGTCAAATATAAATGAGTTCCCTTGCAGGTATCTTGATGTTTTCATAGGTGACATGCTTGGCCGACTTCTTCGGGGAAGACGCTGTTTTTCTAGCCTGTGGCAAAGAAAAAGTCTCAATGGAAGATCTAAATCTTGATCAAAGAGGTAAGAATTGCTTTGTCTTTACGTTACGTTTTCAGGTGAAATGTACACATAAGACATTTACGTGCGCATAGCAAGATCAAATGTCACATAGAAAGTTTCATGACACATAGAAAGTTCAAATATCCAATAGGACATTTTAGTGCTCAATTGTGCCTGGAAAATTCAAGATCCATCATCCCTTATCATTTCAATATTATGCTTGTCTTTCCCCGATGTAAACCACCAGAGGTTCGCCAAGTGAACGCTTACCGCCCCTTCACTGGCAAGACCCGGGAGAGAGTGACACTTCGTAGATCGCGGAACACTGGCTCCGACACCGAGTCCCGTGCCTCCAGCACCAAGAGGAGCTCAGATACGTCTGATGGATTGGGTAACTGCTTATTGTTCTGACGTTAGTTGTACTTGTTTGCCCCCCCCCCCCCACATGAACCCTATCCGTACGTCCTGGGGGTCAATTTGTACCACCGGGGTTGTATTCTTCACGTTTCAGAATACTTCTAGTACGAAGATCTCTTTGAAACTTTAAGCATTTCTAAAAAAAATCATTTTGACAGACTGTTATACAAAGCCTATGGATCGGATTGACGAATAAATTCCCTCTTTGGAAAGTGTTGGCACAGAGTTCACCACGTCGTATGGATACGACAGTAAAACACGACGTACCGATAGGGTAAAAAAATCGGCACAGCTTACACTAGATCTGTTTAACACTGGACGCAGAAGGTGTGATTTCTATTCCCGCTCGAGGAAGACTTTTTTGTAAAAAAAAAGGAAAATAAAATCGTTAGATCGACCGGTATGCTGTATCCCACTCAACCCAGGCTGGCACTGACAGGGTCAAGCGCAGCTATTATGTTTTCTGTTCCATAAGTAAGGAATCTCAGGAGTGGCATGCTCTATGTAATATTTTGTATCCTGCAATGTGTCCTTAGCCATTGACTGTATAACTTTTTTCTGTTCAAAGTTTTGTTCATGAGAAAGAGCTTCTACTATAAAAAGATCTTTGTATTGATAATTTCAAATTATAGTGGGTGTTTGGCAGGTGCTCTGACATGGTTTGTTCTTTCTTTCCTGCTATGCATTATCGGCCTTATCTTTCATTCCTTTCTTTGTATGTTACTCTCTAGTAGTACATTTTACCGTTTTCCGTAGGCATCTAACGTAACTGAAGTGTCTTTGAAGTGTCAACCTATTGTTATTATCGATATTTCGAACCTTCTCTCTACTGCTCAGCAAGAAGTTCAGATCACGGCTCTCTCGCCCCTGGGAAAGAAAATGGGACAGAAACTGAAGCAAAGACGGAGGTATGTTGTCTGTTTCGGGCTCATGTTTTAGTTTAACGATGTGCTGTACACAATGACGTTTATTGGAAGAGAAAACATTGAGTTCTATGAAAGACAGCAGAGACCTATGAGGAAGACATAATACAACGCCCATTAAGACGGAGATCGTCGGACCCCCACACAGATTCAAAACCTAACCTTTGCTTAGGTCACCTTGCCGAGCTCGTACTGAGGGCGTTTCTTAATTGATTATAACTGCCCATTAAATGTTTTCTTTCCTTGAACTAAGGTTGGTGTATTGCGTTTCAAGTAGGCACTGTTTGAAAGCAGTTTATTTTCCATGGCAGTTATGTGAAGCTATGTTTACAAAAAGTACCTCTGATTTTATATTAAAACGTTTAAACATCTAGCTTGAATACAGAGTACAGCTAAACACCAGGATAATTATAATTTCTTCTAGTAAATATATTTGATTCAAGTTCAAGCCAGACAATCGTATCTGGACTTAAGTCTGCTTTATAAAAGTGTTTTCCATACAATTGTAAAAATGTCAACTTCAATTTCCAACAATTCAAGCCCTCGGTAACAAACTGGTTTTTATATCTTTTCCAGCTCGGGAATGAAAGCGAAAAAGACGATGAAAAAAATTTTGGTAAGTCAAAACAGATATATTATGTATAAATATATAAATATTATATAACTGTGTCAATTATCGATGGAAGGCGCCACGTCTATGAGGTCGATAACGCTCCCAGCGTCCGGTACAAGTACAAGTTAATTAGTCATTTTCGAAGTCCATGTTTGCGTCTTCCAAGCAGGGGACAGAATGCACGAGAAAGCAGGGATGAATGTTTTATGTAAAGATAACAACACTTGCGGCAAGGGTCTCGGGGTAATGACGTTAATGTGTCCCGTGCAGGTCACTAATTATTTTTTGCCATATTACTTACTTTGGTCATGTTAGCCTCCTCTTCAAACCAGTATTCTATGTAATGCTTACCATGGGAAAACACATTATGAGCGAGTGTGGCCTCACACACATAATAATTTGGAAAACTGAATAGTTATTGCCAACAAAATTGACATCAGTTTTTCGAAAGAGGTAGGAATGTAATATAACCAACATGTCAGTTTTTCAATTTTCAGAAAGCAAGCCAAATTTATGTGATGTCTAAGAGACTTTATGACCAAGTAACAGAATTCTACAGTGTAAGAAGTCTGAGGCAAATTTTCAAGCTTCTAGAACTGCAAAGTAGATATTTCTAAGGTTGTTAAACAGTTCAAGTTTGGTATGCGTAGCTTGAACTCCATCTACCAGTGATAAACTTGGAGCCTGACCTAACTTCCTGCATGCCAAATAACATAATTTAAATCGCGTTGTCTAAGAAACGCCATTGACAAGACCAGGCCAAAAAGATTCCTAACACTACCATGAAAATATTGTTGAAACCAAAGCGTTCCTTTATCTTATATATCAACAAAAAATAAAGTGGTGAGGTAAACTTTCCTATTTAAGAAAACACAATTTGCACAAATCTATGACAAAATGCAGTCTAAAAGTTGGATGGTCAACAGCATCTTACGTGCTTACACTGACATGTGGGGGCAGCGTAGTGCCGCTGTCTCAAACTGGTCAATTTGAAGGAGGGTTGGTCACTGTAAATCATATAACATTGCAGTGGCCTTGTGCGTGCACCCAAAAGGACGGTTTTTAATATACAATAAAGTAAAAAATAAAGACACTTTAAAAAAATTACTAGATCGAGATTTTAAGAAAGAAAAAGTTTGCTTGGCTGCTAGCCTACAAGAATGCCAAGCAAAATTACTTGCGCATTGGCAAATTTATAGATGAACTAGAATTTTTAACTCAAACAGAAAAATGTGAACAAACCTTAATGCAAATGGGAGTTACTTATTTCTGTAGGCCTGCTGTTTCCTGGAGCTCAGACCCCAGCTGATGTCATGAGAATACAGCGGCATCTGCTGCTAGTCGGAAATGATGTTGTATGGTGCTGAGTGTTACTGACTCCACTGAACCATGTCCCCACTCCATCCACCCCTCCAAGCTTTTTACACTTTCAAGCTGAAATGAGCTTGGATACAAAAGCATGCAAGAATGCCAAGCAAAATGACTTGCGCGTTGGCAAATTTATAGATGAACTACAATTTCTATTACAAACTGAAGAGTGTGAGTCAAAGCCAAACATGGCTGAGTAGTTCAGAAAACCCCCACCGTAGAGAAGGTCATAGTAATGAAAATAGCATGCATTCGAATT